TCTGGCATTTGCGAAACATAGAGAAGGTACAAAATGCGACTGGCAGAACTTACATGATATTGCACCAAGAGCTTTTGTTCGCACAGTAACATCAGGATCAGAAGTGAAATTGGACAAAAGAGGCTCGAGCCCACTAACTTCCATTACAAGTTGTTGGCTGCGGGGATTATTCTGCACAATTGTAGTAACCACATCTGCAGCCTTTGCTCGAACAGAAGCATGGGAGTTTTTCAGGTAACCAAGCAGAGGAACTAAGCCACCAATTGAGTGCAGATCTGTTTGATTGAAGAAAAAAAATTAGCAAAAAAAAAAAGAAAAGAAAAGAAACATTTTCACAAGTATAATACTTAAGAGTTACAAGTAGATTGAATAGAGAATAATTAAATGTGCCTGCGACGAGCAACAAAGGAACATGAGAGGGACTGAAAAATCCTCTCAATCTGTAATTTAGCATATGTAACCCCCCAGAGAGCTGAAGTAAGATTTGATCTAGCCAATACCCAAAGATCAGAATATGGTTTTGTTGTTGTTAAAGATGAGGTCACCATTGTGTTACCTGGGTACCTTATATCTGAAGCCAACCATACCCGTATGGCGTTACGGTATGACCATACCTGACAAATACCCATACATGCACCTGCAGCCAAACTTCTTGGACACTTCTGGTATATATGCATACATTTACATGAATGTGCACTCCATTATAAATACACGTTTTAATTTAAAACACTCATCATACACTTATGGGTTGTATATCCTACACTACACATCTATAAAATTGTTTGGCATCAATCAAATTCGTCTCAGCCGATACCCAATTAGTAGCTATGATTTTAAAGGCCTGTTCAGATATCTACTATCTAGTTAATAAACAAGTTGTTCTCCAATTTATAAACTACATATATAGAAACATAAAAATGTTATAGGAAATTTAATTCTCATAATATGTAAGTTATTAATTTTAATACATATACATTACATATATATAGTCGTGTTCGTGTATGCTACCTTCAACAAATTTGCCGTGTCCCGTACCCATAACCGTTTCCATGCAACTTAGGGTCACAGTTAACTTTTCAGTCTTACTTGCTCATGAACCAGCAATTCTATTTAGCAAAAGAGCCCCTAACATTATAATATTCCAGAAAACAGATCACTATGAATAAAGTTTACTACCAATAGGGATAAGGTTTCTGGGTCAAAAAATCCTAATAAAAGCGGACACCTCCCCTATCTTTCTCACAGTATAGATCTAGGTGACACCCAATGGAAAATTATTTTCTGTGAGCATAAATTATAGCCCAAAAGCATGAGATATTTGAATAATACATATTTATGTATGAGCATTATATGTGAACAATTAAAGCAGCATTAATCATTTATAAATGTGCAACATTCTATGTTAACTAGGTACTTCTATCATGAAGCCATACCTGTACCTGACACATACCAATACTAAAACTTGGACACTCCTTGGGTATATGTATACATTTGTTCAGACATGTACTCAATTATATAATATTGGGTATATGTACACATTTGTTCATACATGTACTCAATTATACAATAAACGTTATAATTTAAAACACTTGTCATGCACTTCTCCAAGGTATATCCTACACTTCATATCCATTTCTTGAACTCGTTAAGCATGGGTCAGGTTTGCTTCAACCCATGCCCAAGTTCAGAACTATGATCTAAAAGGTCATTTTGATCGAGTGTCTAGTCCAAAAACAAGCAGTTTCAATTTATAGTAATAGTAGTCAATATAATATAATAAACCTAAATATGTACTAGGAATTTTTATTATAATAACACATGAATTGAAAAGCAATAATGATCTCATGTAAATTGTTAATTTTAATATATGTATGTAGTCGTGTCCATGTACCCTACAGATTTGTCGTGTCTCATACCCCCACACCCCAAGCAGTACCCGTTTCCATGAACACTAAGAGGCATTTCATAATTTGAAGAAGGAAGCCACGATTGATCGTCACTGTTAAACATGACAATGAAAATCATAGAATTTGATGATCATAAAGTTTCTGCAATCTACAAGCGTATTGGAAAAGAACGAAGCAACTATCAGGCTTACCATTAGCCATGTCAATAGACTCCACGTGTTCTTGTAGCTCATCCAACATATCTGCACATTAAACCAACATTAACAATTCAACATACAAGAGAAGAGGGCGAGAAAAAAATGGATCAAAACAGATTAAGAAAAACAATATTCAGAATAACTGAAATACACTTCCGCAATTGGAAAAAAAAAATTTAAGACTTCAGTAACACCAGAGCCACAGCCTCTTCAAAACTTTGGTAAAATGGTCAAGAAGATCGCTAACCAGTAAATATTTAATATTTTGAGATGATGTGGGTTTTAGAAAATTCTAAAGTTTACGTTGTTGATTCACAGTCCCTCTAGAAATGTAAGGTAGACAAGGATTAGCTATATGGTGTAATAAACAGAAAGTAGTTACTGAAACTTAAATAGTTTTACAAATGTCCGATCTAAGGCGGTTTGAGATCTTGGTACCTGTTATGGTTTGGGTTTGCCTTTGTTTATATTGACTGCAAGTGTTTTAGTAGTTCTGCAGTTTCTTACTGCAAGTAATACATGAGAATGAGATAAATCAAGTTAACCACAAGTCTTTGTTCGTTGATTTATTTTCACATTTTGTTTCCCCATGTAACACTATTTTTCATTTGTTGAAATCAAAGATTCCTCATCCGCTCATCCATTAGTTGTTTAAGCAAACATCTATGTCTATTATCATCATCAACCACCATCAGTCCTATCAATAAATACCAGTTGAATCTGATTGACATGCTCAAAGCCCTATAAAATGTGCCTCATACAAATCATATGATTCTTAAAGTCCTACGGAATGTGCTGATACATCAATATTAATGGATACTTCAAACTTCAGTTTGAACAGTTACAAAACTGGGCAATACGTAGGCATCAATAGCATTTCCAGTAGATGGTAGCTATTCTAGCCAAGCCTTGAGATTACTGCTTTCAAGAGGTTTGAAATGATAGCTCAGACAGAATCTGTATAAGTAGATTGTAGGTTGATATACAATATTTTGAGTAGAAATCACTAAGCACAAAGATTATGCTAGAAATCAGCACATCCCGACAGGTCAATGTAGCTTTTCTTCCAACTGAGTAGCACATAAATCAGTTGGCAGGAGGTCTCTCTAAGGCGCAGATGTGTTCATAATAATTTTCTTCAACTAATGGCAATATAGCAGCCCAGGCCTTTTCTCAAAGAAAATAAAATTAATAAATATAATTCAATCATGGCATTATAGATTTTCTTATGAAAATAACTACCACACCACCACTCTGACCTGCTTCATTTGTCCAACTGAGAAGGACATAGAGCTTAACCCAGTCATAAGAGACCAATATAATGCACAGATGTATTCATAGTAGTATCCGTCGTATTACCATAGAATAGCTTCTTCACAAACTTAATTCTATTTGTCACAAGAAAATTAACAACTGATAATGCAGGCAGCAAAAGAGCCATAGCTGAGTACAAATAGTACTTTCTTTTAGTTCCCACGGTTGCTGCTCCCACAAACTAACAAATTACTATCAATCAGACATGATCAGATATTGACCACAAGTTATTTCTCCAGTAACAGAGCAGCTTTCCGCAAAGTTTTTAGCACATTTCATTGACTTCATGTTCTGCGAAGAGGAAATATTAATTTCATTTCTAACTAAAAGTTGAAGTTTTCGTTTCCAATTTACGCGCTTGGTTCAAAAAACTGACAACAAATTTAGTAAATATTAACTTCTACTCGATTTGTTCAAGTAGAGCTCAGGATGATTCAAAAATCTAGGTTTGTTCGATTAGAGCTCAATTTCAGAGATAGTTGGATTGAAATTAGCAGTAGCATTCTTAAACAACGATCAAAGATAAACGATAAACCTCATCCAATCCAGGGGGGGGAAATTTTCAAGCACCCAGCAATATTATCCAGTTATATACATGAAGAATCTGCCCCAAAAAAAATACCTTCGATGTTTTCAGCAGTGATGCCTTGAGACTCGAGCACATCCTCCGGGGTCCGCATCACGAGCGTGATCTCCTTCATCCTCTGCACGACATCAACAGTTTGCGCTTGCATAGCCTCCATGAACCACCTCCGATCCTCCTCGCTAAAATAAAAACCCCCCAAAACAGCAAAAAAAACCCTAGCCGGTTCAAAACAGGACTACGAAACCCTAGAAAACCTCGAAAACCCTAGAGACCGGACTTTACCTCAGGTTTCGAGGCGCGCTGGTCCCATCGGAGTGGGCGAGGCTCCATTTGAGCAGTCCATCCCACTTCGCTCCGTCGCCGGCCATTTTTTTTTTTTTTTTCAGTTCAATTTGAGTGGACTAATGAGTTGATAAAAACTGCGATGCAAATTAAAATAGAGATTTTTTTTTTTTTTGCCCCCCTTTATTTTTAGAAGGCCAGGGTTTATTTATAGATTCGGTATTTTGCCGGCGAGAAGAGAAAGCGCTGGACCGGAGATTTCCAGAACTATCTCGAATAGGTTTTTTAGCCCATTGGCCGTAATTAAGTCGCTAAACAGCGAAGATGGGCCACTCACCGAAACTCATGCAAATGGGCCGCTTGTAGGCCCAAATAACAAGTTAGGCCCATTCACAAAGAGCCAGCCGAGCATTTGCTCATCCAATCATCATCCCTCCTCCATCGAAAACTCCCCATCATCATCATCTTCTTCTTCCTCCTCGCTAATGGCGACATCAACAGCAGCAATATCACAATCTCTCCTCCTCATTCCTCCTCCAAAATCTCTCCCCAAACTCTCAACCTCTCTCCTTCGACCAACCCACAAACTGAGCAGAAACCCCCAGATTCGGAGCATTCGCGCCGTAACTGAGAGCGCGCCAGCTCCAACAGCCCCAGTTGAGACAACCCAGGAGATGGTTTCCACCACTACAGCTGCT